TCCAGTTGCCCCCCCCTCAATATCTTTCTCAAACTTGCCCTCCCCTCAACTCTTTCCTTCAATCTCCTGCACTCCTTCAACATCGTACTTATTTTGTACAGTATTATTATTTTTTTAGATAATTTTCTCTGCAGCATGATTATTTTACCCAGGAATCAAAAATACCCAACTATGTGGTCATTCAAGTCTATAGTGTCAATTATCTCCTTCCCATTGACACATTTGAAAAGGAAGAGAGAAATCTGACTGCAGGGTGATACGGAAAAGGCTTTTCTTGTTGTCCTAAAACATTGGACAATCATGACCAAATTTTACATTCTTTGTTATTTCTAAAAACTTAATGGGTTAATTTTTATATGGTGAAATGATGTCAAAGGTTTTAAGGCAAAGGTTCAATGAAAGAATTTTTCTTTAGTTGGTCAGTGAAATCTGAGAGAAGTCTTCTCTAAGACTATGAAATGAAAATATGGCAATGCCAATATCCAAGAATCTTTTTTTATTACTCTTTGATTTTGTATCTCTCTGCCCACACTTTATATCTTTTTCTTTTCTTTCACTAGCTTTCATTCTTTTGCTAACAACTATGTAAAAATAAATAAACAGACATAAAAAATTAAAAAGGACTGGTACCAGATTAATATAGAAAAATTTAATTTTTTTTTTTTTTTTTTTTTTTTTTTTTTAAAATAAAAATCAGATTGATTTGGAAATTCTTACAAAAATCAAATAATTATTAGATTTTAATTGAACTCTGAGGACTTATTCACAAATGAATGAAATTATTTTAGAATTTTTTTTTTTTTTTTTTTTTTTTACATCTGATCAATTATACTTTAAATCTGCTAATATTTAAGTTTCAGTATATTTTATTTAAGTATTTAAAAAAAAATTCTTTTTGCAATAAACATTTAGGTAAAAATGTCATTAAAATAAATTTTTTAGCAAACAAAAACTACTTCCAGTGAATTTCAATTAGTTTTGAATAGGTATTAGGGATCTGTGAAGGAACCTACTTTGGTTTAATGAATGTTTACCATATTTTTATGGATGACGTTACTTTGTAGGTATCATATTTATTTATTTATATTTATACAGCATACATGTTCTTTTAATCCTAATCAAGAAAATTAATATGTTAAATAATAGCTTAGCAGACTATTATTTTTTAGGGAAGTGTATCTCGGCTCTGACTTCCAGAGGTTGACAGCCGGTGTCAGATGTGAGCCATAATAGGGAAGTCGATTTTGATTGGCTAAGCTAGCATGGGGAAAAGATAAGAGAAACGTTTCAGTGAGTTGTTTCTTACTCATCAAGCTATGTAGACATGTTCTCTTTCGTGTCTGAAACGGATCCCTAGTGAGGGGGGAGATAGTTAGATAATGTACTATCAACATGAGTAATAAAAATAATTAAGTTAAAATTCTCTGTTTGAAGTCTTTCATTGCTGAACCAAGACAATTAGTGTTTACTGTCCAAGAGAAAAAGCCACTCTGAGGTCCTTCACTGCTGTCAACATGCAACAAATACAGTAAATCTGATGTTTCTGTTAGAAAATATTAGTTTTAAACTTTTAATAAAACTAATAGTCTGTTAAAGAAAATAAGAAAATAATGTAATAAAACTCATTTTCTGTTAAAAAAAATGTCTGTTGTGAGAAAATGAGGCAGTTGTAAATTAACTGAAGCTTTATTCAAGTTCCAACTGGGTGAATCTGTTAATCATTTGGGAGTAGTCTATTACTAATCTCTTTTTATGGTTCTCATGCAGTGTTCCATGTTGATTTTAGGTTGAATAAATTGTAGTGAGAAAATGTACGCAGATGTAACTTAACTGAAGCTTTATTCAACTTAGAATGAATTGTGCCCTACTGGACTTATTTAAATACAGAATATGTATAAGGGGAGATAATCCATACCACAATGTTATTTTTTTATTTAGGACTAGCAGTAGAGCCCGGTGTTGCCCAGGGATGTAACAGTAAGAAATATCGACCATCATAAAGACTGAAAATTAAAATTGACAAAGATTATTGTTTAAGGTTGATGGACACACATGTCTTAATTAGTTTTTTTCTTTTACAAATTGGTCAAACCCAAACAAAAACATTGTTTTCAATCGTTATGAGTCTACCAATTGAATAGAATTTTATTATAAACAATTGTCTTGTAAATAGAATTTTTAAAGCATTCTGAATGTAAAAATAAAGAAAAAAGTATGCAAGATAATAAGAAACACTACCTGCCAAAAAAAAGTGAAGTTTTGTTGAAATCTGTTGAAAAATGTAGGAAATCCGATCCCATATATAAATGAACACAGACACTCACACACAAACAACCTGGGTTTTATAATAAGTATAACTCGATATAAGTTGTCCCCCCTTTCATTCACGTTCTTAATCGTGTTTTCAAATTGATTTCGTGCAAAAACAATTATGTTTTTCCAATTTTTGGCACTGTCAGAACCAATTAAAGGTAATTTTAATATTTAGTCTTGTGAAGTTTTGTTGAAATTGGTTGAAAAATGTAGGAAATCTGATCCAATATATAAACGTACAGACACACACACACACACACACACACACACACACAACCTGGGTTTTATAATAAGTATGATTAACAAACGTTTCTTTAAGAACATATATTGGCTGTAATAGAAGGAAAGTTATCAGTTTTATTTTCATATTTAGGATTCAAAAACCTTTCTTTAACCTTTACCATGCTAATTTCTTTCTAGAATTGTTACCCCTGTTTTTTTTTTTTTTTTTTTTTTTTAATTTTACAACTGCAAAAAACATGAGCACCTAATTGTTATAACTTTCTTTGTGTTGTGCGCATAGATTTTAATTTTTGTACACTAATAAAAGAATGAATGAGGAATATTTTGATGTAATTGCATGCATGTTTTGACATTGAAAACAAAAATTGAAATGCAAAATAAAAAACAAATACATTTAAAAATACATAAATAATTCAATGTAAATTTAACTTTTGTTACTCCTTGTAGAGTTCTGGAGGTACAATAAGAAGCGAAATCGCTAAGAAGGCTTTCATTTCATCAAAAAAGGTGACATGTTTCCTCATCTTTACATATGAGGAGACAAACATTTGTTTGCTCTTTCTTTCACCTGACTCTGATTTATTTTTCTTGTTGACAAATGAAGTTACTATTTTATTTTTAGACAAAATAGTTCACCTTCAGAAAGGCTATCAGTTATATCGATAGTTGGCAATAGCATCCATAAATTTAGTCAGGCATGAATGATAATAGCTGCTTGAGTAGCAAAGGGAGAGAATTCTATGGTGACTATTGTTGCCTGCAGTGTGATAAAGGTTAATGAATTGTGATTCAAAAATAAATAACGTATCTGTAGCGAGAGTGTTACCCATATTTAACTTTGGCTAGGAAAGGTGGGATTAAGGACAATGCATGGACGCAATGCAATTTATATTTGACTTAAATAGCACATAGTATAAAATACAAAACAGAATGTAATGATTTCAAAACATAACAATTGAATTTATTAAGTATTTGATGTACATGCATGTGAACTGAAAAGTTAGACAGAGTTCTGTCTCTTAGACTAGGTAATATTTGTATCTAAGCTCATAAAGAAGTTGATTATTAAACTGTAGAAGAATGAGTTGTTCTATGTTTGGAATTGTGTATTGTACAAGTTGGTAAAAGTTCAGAAGAGATTTCAGAGTTCGTACTTGCGTGAATGTTGGTAATGGTCTTTAATGTCTGACTACATTAGTTAAGACGGGAGTTCTTGAAGATTACATCTTGGCAGCAAGGAATGATGTGCGCAGAGAGAGAGAGAGTTTACATGTGTTTTGTTTTTATAATTTTGTTGTACCACGTGGGAGGCTCAGAGCATATTGAGCGGGAAAACAGATTTGTCATGTGTAGGCGGTTTGATTGGTCTGAACTGACCAATCAACGAGCTAGTTTTGAGTAGATTAACCAATGAATGCTTGTCTATGTACTGTGTTTATGCAATGTGGTGGTAATTACCATAGAGGAAGAGTGCATTTTCCAATGGGGTATAACTGGCAAATGTGGAACCTTTCACAAATACTCCCCCAAGATTAAAAGTTGAAAGAAATGAAAAACTTTTAATATGTAAAAAATACTGTTTGGGAGTAGTACACATTGGCCCTGATCAGCTATTATTCATTTTTTATTGATATTTCTTTAATCTTAAATTTCATTGCATTTTATTATATATATATATATATATATATATATATATATATATATTTTTATTTTTTTTTTATTCAAATTCTGTGTGATCATACAGTTTATCTTTGTGCACATATATTTTAGTTCAATGATGTCCTTAAAAAGATTTCTACAGAATTTTAGAAAGACTTGAGAGAACTGTTGAAAATTTGTGATGACTGATGTGACTGAAAAATTCAGGAACCATTTCTGCACATTTCATCAATCTGACATTAGATGTTCTTCTTTAAAAAGTATGATAACTTGTTGATCAAAATCAGTGAGTTGTTTAGCCATATGAGAAGGGCAGAACAAAAGATGAAAGTTGTCTGTAAATAACCTTTAAATGACCAGTCACAATATCGAGCAGCCATGAATCAATCATAAAAGAACCAATCAGATTTGAATAATTACTTTAGAGTCGAATGATTATTCAAGGTCATGAATATTCAAGAAATTTATTCAAGGTCAATTATTCTTGAGAGATAAGGCTTATAATAAATTAGTCACTTTTTTATTGGGCACCCTGTACAAGAGCAAAAATGTTATTGGTTTTTCAAAAATATTTTTCATAAATATTCATCAGGTTAGCCAAAAGGTCAGGCAAACTATGATAAAGTACCTCAGAGGATGAAACACGTCAGCTAGGATAAGTTATCCTTTTGTCTTTATTCATATTGTCCTTTTATAGATGTACTATATCTGAAATTGTTACACATGATCTTTAAATACAATTTTATTCATTATGGAATTACTCAGACTTTTCTTTTCTTTTTCAGATCATTCACATTTCTGCACCAGAGAAAATAACTGAGGTAAAACAACCTTCATAATAAAAAAAAAATAAATAAAAAAAGCAAAGATGAGGACATTAGTATAACTGAAAGTAATAAAAAAAAAAAAACGTCTCAAAAAAGTTTTATAGGGTGATCTGCTTCACTTCATCTCAGTAAATATTGAAGTCATTATATTTTCATTCAAATATAATAAATATATATATATATATATATATATATATATATATATATATATATATTTTTTTTTTTTTTTTTTTTAACATTAGATTCCTTTTATTATCTATGAATTGCCATGCCTTCCTGGGTAAGATAGTGGAGTGTTTCTGTTTTCTCTACAGTTTGGAATTCAGTTTTCCTTATCCTAGATTGGTTGCTATCCAAGTTTAGAGTCCTCATTCTATCTTTCTACTTAACCCATAGCTGTGAGGGAAAAGAGATGGATTCATGGCTTTTTGAAGGACTTTTGTGCAAAATTAAATGTAACAGACTTTGAACTCTGTTTGCTAATTCCATTTTTTGTGCTAATAACTGTTACATTACATGCACATCCCTTAATGGTTATGTTGATAAGCATGATGACGTTGCAGTTCAAATTGGCAAAGTGGAAAGCAATGAAGAACTGAAGAAAAATGAAGTGATAATTGGACAGCATTTAAAAAAAAAAACAAAAACAGTTGCATCAATTTAACAGAAGATTAAACAAAAAAATTCTAGACTTTTGGACTATTTCTAGAAATATTAGCCACCATTAACCCCTCCTCCCCTCACCAACCAATGCCTTGTATCTCTTAAGCTTGGTCTTGATACCTACTTTTTATCCATTCAAAGAAATATGATCAATACCAAAAAAGTCTTTCCTGTGTAATGTATAAAATAAATAACACTATGTTGTAGAGTAGTTTTCACAGTGGAGGCTTGTATTTCACTGTCGGTCCTAAAAGGGTCCGACGTACAAAACGTTAGGAACTTGAAATAAGAGTTAATGACGCAGCAATCTAGTTGTGATGGTTGATACTTCAATGTCCGACATCGACTGACTCGCTCAACTCCACTGAGCTCAACTGGCGACCGCTACTACTACTATTTGTGTGGGAGAGTCTATTAATAATAGAATAGGTACGTTCAGGTATAACACACTATAATGTCTAAAATAAATGACAGTTTTCACTATTTAATAAAAGCCTTCTCCTTGTTTATATATATATATATATATATATATAGTGTGTGTAAAGAAAAAATTGATTAGAGTGTATGTACGCTCAAAAGAAATTGTTTATTGTGCTACCCTTAACTTCAAATCTGGTGAAGTATCCAATACTGGAGGGGAAATGGTGATAGTATGAATGTATTTTTTGGCTGCATGGATGAAGGGATCCATGATTTATTGTTATTTCACACACACACACACACCCTTTATATAGGGGGTTAGCTGGAAAGTTTATAGGCTGATATAAATGTAAGTAGACACACCAGTTGGTAGACTGAAAAAAACATTCAAGTGTACCAGAATACAGCAGATACAGGGTGCGATGGGTAAATTGTCGCCATTTTATATTTTTAATTTTGCGCATGTGTGTTGTTTGATTTTGTCAACTGCAGAGTATATATTAGGGTCAGTTGGGCCCCCTCTGTGAGAAAAATAGCACCATGGCACAATTCACTCCACCAGAAATTTGGAAAAAAAGCTAGCTGCACTGCTTGGCATTGAAAAGTACGCCAGAATACAACAGATATAGGCTGCCCTGGGTCAAGAGGAAAACCCTATGTCTAGCAACAGGACTCCACAACATGCCACACAAGCCACAGGAGCCAGTCATGGCTGTCAAACAATTTCTGCAACCAAATCATCCATTACATCTGGCCACCTAATGTCCCATACTACAACTCCCTTGATTATTATATGTGAGGTGCAGTTGAGTGAGAGACCAACAAAACTCCTTGTAACACCAAAGATGAACTGAAGGCAATGATTATGGCAGCATTCACCAACTTAAGTAAGGAGACTGTCTGGAAGAGTTGCAGGAATTTCCAAAGTTGTCCGAAGGCTGTGGTTGAAACCAATGGTGATTTTATTGGATAAATTTAGTATTTCAAAATATTTTTGTCTAATTTTAGTAAATATATCTGTTAAAATGAGATGTCCGTGTTATTTTCATTTTTGTGTAATTTAGATAACAATTTATCCATCACTCCATGTGTATGTGTGTATATATATATATATATATATATATATATATATATATATAGTATAAATATATATATAATATATATATATGTGTATGTGTAAAATAACAATTGCTATGTGTTATCCATCCTCTTCTATGGCAGTGAATGCTGGACAATCTCCCAACAGATGAGGGAAAAACTAGAGCCTGTAGAAATGTGGTGCTACAGAAGGATACTTAAAATTTCATGGATGGAATGAGTAACCGACGAGGAAGTTTTAAAAAAATGGCAACAGAAAGAACTCTCCTACTCAGAATCAGGAAAAGACAACTGAAATTCCTTGAACACATAATGAGGAAGGGTAGGGGTGGCTAGGAAAACTTAACCCTCACAGGGCATAATGAGGGCAATAGAGATAGGGGAAGGCAGCAAGCCACTTACCTGACAAGCTTGTGTGAATGGATGGCAATTTAGGGGAGAGGCCTTAGCAGAGGGAGAAAAACTACTAAGAGCCTCATGAGATAGATAATCATGGCTCTCCACAATTTCCTAGAAAAAGATAATACTTGATTTTTTTTTTTTTTTTTTTTTTTCAAATAAATAAGATTATGGTGGGCATTATTGGGTTAAATAAAATATACTTGATAAATGTCTTTGTCAAAACTTCATAAATGGTTTGGAGGCTTACATTTATCAATTATTTTTTATTTTCTATAGAAAAGATTGTCACATGCAGTATTGAAATAAAAATAAAATGTAATATTTAAACTGAATTCCTCTTGCCTATTGTCAGCTATTGTTGTCTGGGATGCTGTCCTCAGAACAGAATATACTAACTTTTTAAATATCAGCATCGCTCCATATAAAAAAAAAATTTTAAATACTTTGGCTATTGTTAAAAGGGAATACAGAAAAGCAAATAAAGAATTTTTGTTCTTGAATACTAAATTAATCTGTTTTTGTTTTGTACATCTGACAATTTTCTAGTTTATATATAAATTACTAATAGTATCTCTACAAGTAGATATAGTTCGTTCCAAGGATAATTGCAATTAAATATGTTGAAACCTATTTGTAGTTACTTAAAAACAACTAATATTTTGGTAACATAAAGGCTACTAATTTTTTTGTCCCAGTAAAAAGATTGCAAAAAAAAAAAAATCACCTTTCCTACTAATGGGAAAATGAAGACATTGATTGATTTAAGCAAATATTTAGTCTTTATTCCCAAACACTATTTCATTATTCCTTTTCAATAGATCCTCAATCTAATGGTATACAGGGCAGTCCTTTTCCAAAGAAAATGACAAATACATCACCTTTCTTACTCTATGCAAAGATATGGTCTTTTTATCTTTAAGCCAATATTTAGTCTTAATTCCCATAGACTTTAACACCCATCTGTCAAAAATGGTCAACAGCAACCAAATGTGCAGCACCCCTGTCGTCAACCCTAGACAGCAGTAACCAATTATGTCACCAAGTCATTGGTCCTCAAGTTCCTTCAGACCATAATGGTTACCGTTTATCTGACTCTTCACTCACTATTGCATGACTTGTTTTGTCGCTGGTATCATGTTGATGGCAGTTTCACTTAGCTGGCATTTGTCTGTTCACAACCGTTCACTCCTCTGCCATGTTGTGTTTTTGATCTCCGAGGGGTGAGATAATTGCTGATGAAGAAAACTTGGAGTGAAGACAGTTTGATCATTTGGAGGCTACACAAAAAAATTCCTCAGGTTAAAAATGTAACAATGATTTGTTTTATACAGCAGTTTTAACCCTTCCTACTCGTTATAATCAAATGATACTGAGATCTCCTTTGGAATCTGCAGCTTTTTTTCATAGTAACTTAAATTTCTAAGTTCTGGTCTTCGTGTCCGGCACAAGGTCTTTAGTCAGGAGGTCTCGGTGAACAATGCAGATTCCAGTGTGTCTCTTTCTGTCTCTCTTGTTCTTCTGTTGAGAACTGAACTGTTTCTGAGAAAAAAATCTCCAGCTTATATGCAATCCTGCATCCAGCAGGGGTGGGGTGGGGTGGCTTTGGACGAGGGATCTGTGTTCACTTGTGTTCTGCCCTAAGTATCAACCCTTTCCAAATTTCCATATAGAAAAATACATTTATGCAATTGGTTTTCCAAATATGGGGTTGTCCAGCCCCCTCTTGAGAGTGGTCAGAGGAATTACACCACTCTACTACTCTCTTACACTGTGTCTGTACCCTTGCTTCTGTATAGGTGGTGCTAATCTCTCTCTCTCTCTCCTCTTTCTCTTCCTTTTCCAATTTTCTCAACAGCCAACCTCAGCCCAACAAAAACAAAAGGGATTTTCAATTATTAATCTTTCTTTATCAGTGTCCCATGCTGTGATTACTCGATCTACCAGACCACTCAAGAATTGAAAAAAAAAAAAAGGAAATAAAATTATTTCCAATCTCCTTAAAAACGAAGGTTTATCTTTCCTCTGTCTTTATGCATTTGTTTTATGAGTAACTAGATCACCCAGCCTTTTTGCTCATAGCCATTTCAAAATAGTAATTAATTTTTCCTTATCACTTGTGTCTAAGGAAATCTGAATTAATGCTTGGATATAAAATTTTCTCTGGATGAATGTCACTGCAATTATCTTTTCTTCTAGGTGGTTGATGCAAAATGTATGTTTTTGTTTTATCTGATCCAGGGGAATTATGAATGCTTTTTCACTGACCACCTAGATTTCTCTATCGACAACATGTTTTTATTTTATCTGACATCTCTGCAGATACTTTAATGGCCTATTTCATATCGGTGGGAGCTAAAGTGGGTATGGGCAGACTCGGGTCTGCTCAATCTTACTGAATTTCATCTAGTTAA